TATTCAAAATGTCCGATGTGGGTCTTGAAAGCAGTTTTCCATTCGTCTCCCTCTCTTATTCGCACTAAGTGGTAAGCATTGCGCAGATCTAATTTGGAGAAAATGGTGGCCCTTTGGACTGACTCAAAGGATGAAGAGATGAGAGGGAGAGAGTATTTGTTCTTGACGGTAATTTGATTAAGCCCCCGATAATCAATGCAGGGACGGAGTGACTTGTCTTTCTTTTGGACAAAGAAAAACTGCAGCAGATGGCTTAAGTTTAGCACTTATCTCTTGGAGCTGCTGGGACAGTTCAGAAAGGTTCTGAGTTAGCTCTGACTGCTGCTGCTGTATAGCTTGGAGCGCGTTGTTATGGAGACCTACAAGAACTCCCTGGTCCGTTAATGCATTTCGTAATTGAGCTGCAGAGTCAACTTGGCCAGATGGTTCTGACATGTTTGGTCACCTGACTCTGGTGCAGGTCAATTACAAACGCAACACAAGGAAAGGTAAGTCTGAAGTTTATTTTCGACCAGCAGCTGGGACAGACAGGTGAACGGACGGCAACAGGCAGGAGGTGAGGACCCGTCGGGGATTCGCTCTGGTGGGAAAAGGTGAGTTACGGACACGTCGTCTGAATGGGAGCTCAACGTGCAAAGGAAAAGAGGCAGATCTTACTGTTGGTGGAGATGAGGTGGTCCTGGAGGGGGAACTGATATATCCACTGAGATTGAGAGACCGTTGGAGGGTGGACAGGCAGGCGAGCGCGTTGATCCGGGAGCGATCCAGCAGCGAAGGTGGGCAGATAGGACGGAGCCAGGCAGGAGATGGGAAACGGCTATCAGCATGAGCTGATGGGAACCGGGCGGGAAACAGAACCAGAAAAGGGTTTTCTCGGACCAGGAATGAGGACTCACTGGATACGTAGAACAATCTGGCATCTGCCACCAGAATCCAGCTCCTATTTAACCGCTCCTCCTGATAGGATGATGAGCTCCAGCTGGCTACACCTGTCTGACACACCCTGCAGGAGAGAAGGTAGGAGACACACACACTCACAGCACTCAGCTCAGTGGATATGACAAGCAGAAGAGGACAGGGGCTGATTTTTAGGCTTTTGCTAAAGTAGATAAGATCAGGAGAAAAGATCAGCTTCACATGTCAGCATCGGCCGATCACAGATCTGACAAAATAAAGAAAATCAAAGCTGATAAATGGGCTGGACAATGAATCTGTGCAAAGCTGTGAGAGCTTGGTGGGGCCAGCTGCACATTGTTTAAGGAGCCCAGAGCCTACAAATAAGGATGATGTAAACTGGTGTGACTTGTGTGTCGCAAAAAAAATTGTTTCCGTTGCAGTTTTGCAAAATACACTAATTTTGATGCGGCTGAATTTTTTTTATCAAAATAATTTTTGAAATTGGAGTGTTTCCATTACGCTAATTTATTTTCAGAATTTCAATTTTATGGTCAATAGAAATGCAACTAATGATGCAAAAGTGGGATAAATGTGACATGACAATTCAGAAAACTATCAGATATGTTAGTCAGTCTGCTGTGAAAACGTTGGATATAGGTTGCATCTGCCTGCCTAACAGCCTAATTGTTGTCTGGTCTACAGACAACGAGAACAAAAAGAGAAGTTCTCTTTTTGCCCAGCTGATTAGTTTAGGTTTTTGTAGTAGCATAAGAATAATGGGTTGATGTGAAGCTTTGAACATTGCTTGTAACCTAATCCTGCATGTGACATGACATGATGTTTCGGAGTGCTGCAGAATGCTGCAACCCTGTGAAACTTTTAAAATCTCCGCGATAAGAATAAAGATAGGGGCACCTGTTACCATGGTAACTCCAAGTAAAACCGCACAGAAAACCACAGTGGTTTTCATATTGATTCAGAATGCAGAATGAAAACTTTGATATCAGTCAAAGGCAGGTTGCCCAGCTTCTATCTTCCCAGTGCCAGGTTAGAGGCTTATTGACCGTTTTTTTTGACAGACTGACTAACAGATGAGTTTTTCAGTGAAATGGGCCGCGAGCCCAAAGTTCAATTAAAAGCCCCGCTCTGCATGAGAGCAGCATATTTGCCAAACTGGGAGAAAAGTGTAAATCAGTCTTCATGCTTCCTCAGCAACCTGCTTGTCCTTGGGGAGTATTGATGGCTCCGCCTCAACTCATTTTTTAAACACACCCATCAAAGCTGCTACATTTATCTTATCCTGACAGGTTGAGGGGGATTTTTATGCAGCACGAGTGCTTTGGAAACACATGGCTTCATTTTAACGAGCTAGCAAGGCTGAAAGCTGCACGTGAAAACCACCTGCCTTTTTTTTTTCTTTCTGTCCAAGCAGCAGGAAAGCAACCTGGCTTAACTCGAAGCATGCTTTTGTTTTCTCATTCAGCTTTCTCTTGCTTAACTGACTCAGCAGGTCAACAGAGCATTAGTCTAATTCCATGCTCGCAATACGACTGCAGACTTTCATTTTGTAGTGGTCAGATAAGGTTGTGTGAATCCTGCTGATGGAAGATAAGAGACATGTCATAAATTAAGACTCTTGTGGGAAACCGTGAATTTCCTGATATTATATTGTCACCTTCCTAAAATAATGGTCTAAGTAATTTTTTTGCCAAAAGAGATTTTGTCAAAAAAAGTCACCCCTTTTTTTTGGACAAAAGAGGATATAGACAAAAGCAATCACTATTGGCAATAAATAACCATTATTTATTGTGTCCAAAACAAATGTGCGCCAAACTTTGTCGCTATTCTGCTAATGTTGAAAAGTGTGCCAGTTTGACGCTATGAAACTTACTGGAAATTTTCCTGCGCTGTAAACAACTGTCCTCCACTGAGAAGAGAGAAGTGCCAAGCCAAATGAGATAGCTGTTGATGTTATCTCAACATTTAGAAATGTGACCATCACGGACTGAACGGCGTCCTTGACTTCCTTCCTTAGATTGCTAAAACTACAGGAACACTACAATTCTAAAAAGAGCAGAAAATTGGTGTCATTGTTCACAACTTCTTCTGTTCGCTAATTGACCCACTACAAATTGACCAGAGACAGTTCAAGTTAAGGGGAGAAATCCCTGAGTGCGCTAGAAGCAGGAACTTTTTTCAAGCGGAATCGCACAGGAAGGCAATGGACAGGATTATGTTTCCATCAAGCAAATTTATTTTCGGATTTCGAATTTGCACAATTTTAAGGTCAATGGAGATACTTTTAGTATGAGGTATGACAAATATCCCCAAATACAGTGAAAGTAGAAACGAGTCCTTCACAGGATGTTGCTGGTTGGTTCCTGGGTGTGAATAAATGTTTGCCTTCTCACCCGCGTTTGTCGTGTCCAGATGGTTTAATCAGCCGGGCTCAAAGTGTGAGAGCAGAAAGGGGAAGAGGCTTTTCCCGGGGCAGTGCCCGGGACAATGTCAGGTTTGTCTGGCCCGAGTGCCAAAACACTAAGCGTCTCGGTACTGGCAGCCCGCTTCGGGACCTACCCATCCCGTCCGGCTTCCAGGGCCGTTCAGCCCCGGAGCACTAAGCAAAGTTCATAAGGCTTCCTTCTGTTTGTGCGGCTATAAAGGAGGCTCCATCCTGTTGTAGCTCAAAGAGGAGCTTATGGGCACGCAGATTCTGGCACTGGCTGTGCAGAGGAGTGAGTGTTCTCAGTTACTGACTCTGGCTGACTGCTTTCATTATAAGAAGATATGCCCCCTCCTCAACAACCCAGCCACCTTCATACCCCCTCATTAGATCCAGATCTGGGCCTTCAGTAGCAACACTTAATTTGTTATCAAGCTATTCGCCTCAATCTCCAGGTGAATAAACATCCATCCGTCAGTCCATTCATCCATCATTCATCCAACATCCATCCAATATATTTGTTCGCCATTCCATCCATCCATCCATCCATCCATCCATCCATCCATCCATCCATCCATCCATCCATCCATCCATCCATCCATCCATCCATCCATCCATCCATCATGCATCCAACATCCATCTGAACATCCATCCATCTATCCATCCAATATGTCTGTCCACCTATCCATCTTCCATCCTACCTCACTCCTTTTTTTAAGAGTAAATGCAATATTTAAAGACCCACTGGAGAAATATCTACATTCATTCATAAAATGCAGCAAAAAAGGACAAAGAAAGCAGAAATCTTGATTTCTGGAAATATATTCACTCTTGACATAGGAAATGTGTAAAAACTCTGAGTAGTGGTGTTCTGTCTCATTAGGACTGTTAGCTTTTTCCGATTCTTCCCCTCTGCCCTCCGTAACCCCCTACCGAGGTAACAACCTTTTCATCTCAGGCTGTAAGTCTGCTCCAAGCAGCCGTGCTTTGGTTGCTGTTTTTCCACCGTGGTTACGACCCACATCAGCATAATTCAAGCATGACCCTCCTCCCTTCCTTTCATTTTCTGCCTTTTCTCTCCCATTTAAACCCAAGCCTCTGTCCTGAGTCCACATCGTACATCATCCAGCACCGAGGTTTGCCCTCTCGCTCCACCTCCCCCTGCATGTCGTGGGAGAGATTCCTCCCCCCAGTCCTTTTCTTTTACGTTTGAAAACTAGCATCAACAGCACAAGCCCTCACTCCACAATGTCAGTTGTTCTAGGCCAGGTAACAGACATAGTTCCCTTTCTGATGTAGACCAATCAGGAGATTGGAGCAAACTTCTTAAAACATTTGAACATTTTCTTGCATTGAGAAAGGGGGAGAATAAAACAAAAGGTCATCTAACAAAGTGCAGGGTTAATGCTGGCTGACGGTCTTAAGCAATTTGATGCGAGTCTCCAGCAGCATTAGCAGAGAATTAAGCAGATTGTCAGTAGCTGACAGAACAAATTTGCAGCAGGAGCAAGACTCAACAGATTCCCAGTCAGCAGGGAATCTGGCTTCCCATCCCAGATTCTCCTTTCCATCGGTTCTGCCAGCCGATTATTGCAAATAAACACTTCGCCGAGCCTACAGGTGCATCAAACATCTTCCATTATGCTAATGTAGGAAGCAGGAGACGGGACTGGTGGTGCAAGATAAAACTCACATTCCTCAACTCTGGTTTGTGCACACTCGCTGAATAGCCCTTAGATCAGCCTTTGTGGGAGTGATTGTCAGCAGCTTAATGAGCTTCTTTGCCAAGCTAAAGGCTTTGGCAACATATGTGACTACAGTGCCTCTTCGCCTCCGTCTCAACCTGCATGATACAACATAAAGCAAGCTCAGCGTTCTTCCTCCCTGTAGACATCAGAACTCCCTTAACTCATCATTTTCCTGTTTACTCTGGATTTGCGCGACCCGGAAAAAGGAATTGTTACTCATCTCATGGGGACCAGGACTGAGAATGAGAAAGTCCGATTTTGTAAGTAACTATTTGCTACATCTGACGATACCTTCTAGGGAATGTTCTGGTTCCTCCAGGTTCACTTCAGCTAACACTAATAATCCTACACTGTCTCAATAGGATTTTATTTAATTTGGAATACAAGGATGCATAAGTAATACTTTCAGTGATATTTTCATTATGTCATTGATTGTAGTTCTTACTGTCACTCTTTCCTCTTAGTGGTTGTCTTTGATTGATTTTAGTTGACCTTAGTGCAACTAAAAAAAAACTGTCTTACAGACATAAATGTTACTTCATATTTTGGAAAAAGACACTGATAGCAGGTATTTTTGATAAAATACCTCCTATAGGACATTTTTGAAATAATTTTTATTTTATTTCAATTTGTCTTTATTTTATTTCACTTTCTTGCTTTCAAAATAAGAAAAACAAAACTTTTCCAAAAGCAAAATGGATATGTTTTCTTTTACATAATATTGTGAAAAATGATGTAAAAAAGAGGCAATTTTCAATATGTTGGAAAAAAGGAAAAACTTTTTGAAATTCATTGCAATTACTCCATTAAAAATGGCAAAATCTGATTAAAACCTTGCTCATGTTATTATGTCTATTTCTAAAAATAGTTGGTCCTTATTTTTTTTGGCCTGTTATTAAGAGTCATTGAGGAAGGTTCAAACATTTGTTGTGGATAAAACAGCAACACTTGCCTCACTTGCACCAGTTATGTTTGGATTCACAGCACAGTTACTTCATATTAATGGTGAATTTCATGCAGATCAAAACTGTCTGCACGAGATCTGCACTGATCAGGGTTCTGGTTTTTTATTTAGACTTTGTTCTGCCATCTCTAATTTTATCTGGTTTTACAGCGACAGTCAACAGTGATCAAATAATTATTACCAACCTTGCCACATTTTATGAGTGGTCATTAACCAATTATATGAGGAGCAGAGGTGATGTCACACTATGTGTTATGAGAGCAGAGTTTTGCTAGTTAAAATACACAGATGACTGTTAAGTTGACATTTTAAGCTGTCTGTGAAGTTCCCCTCAGGCTGCAGGGTTTGTTATGCACATAGGGTTGCCACCTTTCAGAAATTAAAATAAGGGACGCTCCCCACGGTGCGCCACCTTACTCTCATGGGGTGGGATTTCCACTGCAGTGATAGACATTTTTTATGGCGGTGTTTTTTGTTTTTAAAAAGTGATCCTTAGAGCAATCATTCATGCATAGTTGGTTAGAGTACCCCAAAATTGTACTCCAATCAGAGTAGTATACCTTAAACATGCTTAATTAAGCAAGTGTAAAAGGTATTTGGTAAACTACTCAAGTACTGAGTAACTGATCATAACACCTGATTTAATATTCAAAATGTGTCCTCTGACAGCCAAAAGTATAAAAGTTATGTGAACATTCTGGTACTGTAAAGAGTATTACTAAAATATTTATAGAAATAAGGAGTTAGGTTTGGAGGCTGGTTCTAGACCAAATTTACCACAGAGGCCAGGATAGTTGGTGTTTTTCCATGGCGACACTTGAAAAATAATGGGGGGAAAAACCCCAAAACAAAACAGAGCATTATTTCATCATTTGATATAAGTGAGCCAAAGAGCCACTTTTGTCTACAGAGATCTAGGTTGCAGATCCCTGGCAGATGGAAAGGATGATCATATACAGCAGCTAAAAGTGCAGCACTATAATTTTTAATTCGTTGTTAAAGTAAAATTGTGAAGGTTAAAAAAAAGTGATCCACCACTGAGTATTAACATAAGACATTTATTTAGTATAACTTCTTTGGTTCCCCGTTGGCCCTCATCTAGAACCACCCAAGGCTGCAGGTCTGGGTCTGGTGCATTAATAATACATTAAATGACCACTGAACAATGAATTCATAAAATATATCAACATTTCAAAATAAAACCTACAGAAAGCCCTAACAAACCTTTTAAAGTAGGAAATATTTATGTATTTACTGTTAATCTATTTGTATGCCTTGTTCTTTAAATGACCATTTGTATTATTTTGGCTGATATTATTATACATTAAATAAGCAAATAATCAAACCAGTAAAAACACAATAAGTTTACTCATAGCAAAATGTTCTGTACCATATCAGCCTCGGGAGATGATTGAAGGATGAAGAGACGCTGATGTCAAGTGTTTTAGGTTCTGACGGGTCTGCAGTGTTCCTCTCCTGATCCATTCATACAGCAGCACACTGCGCCACAATGGACACATTTTTTTAATTGCCTGTGTTCATCCTCACTAACATTATTCAGCCTAGGATTTGCGTCTTCCCTCACACGTCTGTATCTTTATGAGAGGTTTTACTTCTAAGTTCGGTGAAGAGTCAGGTCGAGGACATTGTAAAAAGACGCGGGTTGATAGCACCTCACTGCGGCTGCGTAGTGTTCGTCTCTAGGCAACCGTAACAACAGCGTCGGTCCGTAGTGTTCTGGGGTCCTGTATAGCTCCCGCCACGACAATTTAGCTGACCTTAATATTTCCTGTGTTTTGTTTTGGTCATTATTGTTACACTTAGTGTGTGATAGGCATGTCTATCGGACATTTATAGAATACGGAACGAATCGCGTCCGTATTCGTTGCGTCCCGTATCGGTTCAATACAGGACGCATCATTTAACAGCCAAACACGGGACGGGTGGCAACCCTATATGTACGTGCAACAAAAACAATGGTGAATAGCATCGTGCTGTGTGTGCTGTTTAACCTGTTCAGTTTAACATAACTTGATATGGAACATTATGTCAGCCAGATTCCCCGCTGTCTGGGATATGAGCATGTGGCTTATGGGAGACAGAAAATTGCTTTCTAAATAAAGTGAAAGCAAATGAAGTGGTAGCTGAGTGTCAAAAGCACATGGTGTTTCAATGACATGCTATAATCACAACGCTATCCAGTGGCCTGGAATGCAAATAGAGCGGATTCAAGGTGTCTTGGTGGTGTCATGTCAATGTGATACTTTAGCTCAATCAACATCTGAAAATACTAAGGGTACATTTAGCCTAAGTAATTAGCACAGTTAGCATAGTAGCTGTAAATACGTATTTTCTCTTAGCATGCTTCCACTGATTAGTTGTTATGGAATAGGTTCAGATTGCGTGTCTCTGAACATCATTGTTTTGTCTAGAGTTAGTGCCCATATATATCTTTTCTAGGAACTAATCATGGATCATCAACAGGGGGCAAGATGGTGAATGCCCTGTGTCACTCCCACACTTTTTGTTTGTTTGTCTTCAGTCTGACCAAGGGTGACATCACAATTCGTACTGAAGAACAACGTATTCCACAGTGTCTGGCTGAAACCAGATTTGGCATTCTGGAGCTTTGCTTGGTCACCCAGTGGAAACGTGACACTGGTTCAACATCATTGAATGGACTATGAATCATGTTGGTAGCAAAGCCTTATGTCAGTTGCCTTGGTTTCCAGTATATTTATTCTAAGATTAATTTGCAGAATTCTCAAATATAAAATTCCAAAGTTTCTTGAAATACTTTTGGTTTTCTTTAAACACAGATTTGCTTTGAGTCTTCATTGATTAAAAAATGAAAGTGTTTAAAAAGATCATTCAACAGAGTCATAAAAGTGAAATGAAAAGCAGTTCGGGCCGTGTCAGGATGATGAATCATCTCCTCCTGAGGGATCAGGGTCACCTTTAAGTCACATTTTCAGCTTTCACAGTCTGCCGCTTTGACCTCAGAAAACCTGAATCTTGACTTGTTTAAAGCAGCAGCACTGTAGAGACACAATAGAGACAGGGCGGATGAGTTCCAGAGCACTCTCTGAACAAATACAGACTGTATCCACATACAGCTAAAGGTCTGTCTGAGCTGAGTTTCCTGCCAGGGCAAATTTACATCAAGGAGGAAAGGGAACTGTTTCATTAATGACTTTAAATAGACTTCCAGGACCGTTGCTTTAGTTTGCTTAATCAAGATTATTTACCAGGATGGTCATCCTTTGAGAATCTGACCTTAACTGACTGTAAGAATCATGTCACTCTACATAGATACGTTTTATTTGAGCCTACATTCTGATGTCTTTGTCTTACATCAAACTGAAATATTCATTAGAATGTAAAATTCTCCAATGCTTTACTTAAAAACTAAACCTTTTAGCCTTAAATTTTTCTATTTGATGTGTTTGAACGCAAGCCGTTAGGCAGCGGAGAGCCACAGGAACTGGGCCACCTATCCGGCAGCCGTGTCAAACAGCTTACCCCGAGTAACATTGTCCAGATGTTCTGCTGCTGCATAGAACAGGATTTTCAAATGATAAATTTTTGGGAACATTTCATTTTATTTCACAGGCTGAAATCCTCACTTTAATTGCGTGTTTGAGACACCAGAAGGGAGTACAACGCCCACTACAGGGATGTCGGAAATTCTCGTTCATTGGTATAAATAAATTGCTTGGAGGGCCAACAGAGATGAGGATTGGGGATATAAGAGCCATTGATCATGTCTTGCTGCGGCACGGTTTTTTCAGGGGTGGTAGAAATGACTGGCATCAGTCAGTCAAAGAGCGAGAGGAGCATGCTGCATTAGTTCACTCAAAATATTATTCCTGTCCTCAAAGTCCAGCTCATGAATTCATCTCTCTGCCTGTCATTGTCCTGAGCAAGAGGCACTCCTGGGAGACTTCAAAGAGAGCAAATGAGAGGGAGAGGCGATGAAAACCTGGGACAAGTGCAGTCCACTTTCTGAAACACCTTCTTTCACCTCTGACTTCAGGATGATCAGAACATCTTTGTGTTGCTTTTCAGACACGGTTCGTACAACCTGTGTGGCTGAGAGCCATTCTCTGTTCTGCTCTGTTCAGCTCTTTACATTGGTTAATTGAACTCATGACTTTGATTGGAAATGATTCAGAAAGAAAATTTTGTCATCTTATTGTTATTTATCCTGCATATTACAGCAGCGCAGTGAAGCAAACTCTAGAAAAGTGACTGAAATGTCTCTTGTGGTTTGAAACCTTTTAAGCTGTTTTTTTG